AACTGCATGCACTCTGTGATTGATCGCGCTACTGTGGAACCGGGAAAGTGCGTATCCATCAGAAGCCTCAGAGTATCTTCCTCGGAAGTAGTGTTCCCTCCCGAGGGATCATGCAGAGATCCCAATCTTGCTTTAGTGTCTTTGCATAGGACTCTGTGTATTCTTGCAGTAGCAGGAATGTCATTTATGGACTGACAGAAGTGCCTCCAGGATTCTCTGGAGGCCCTTCTAATCTCCTTTTTGTACTCCTGCAATGCCTTTTTGTATTCTTCCCATAGAGGAGAACCTCTCCTGTGCTTAACTCTGCTAAGAAGTTTGTGCACCGCTCGTTTTCTATCCTCTAAATCTTTGGTCCAGAAGGTTGCCTTGCCCTTACCTTGTACTTTGCGTAACGGGCAGTTTTCCTCATATGCGGCCGTCAAGTCCCTGCTCAGAGACTCGACAGCTGCTTCTATGTCAGAGCCCCTGCCAAGCCTGTATGGGACCGCTCCAAGCTTACTGTCAATGTCTGCCCTAAAGGACCCCCATCTAGTATGCCTGGGATTCCGAGCATATTTATCCGGAATCTCTCCATCAGTCTTGAACAGTATATACCTGTGATCCGATAGAGAGGGTGTTAGAGACACTTTCCAGTCCCTGATGTCCTGAGCTAAGTTAAGCGTGCTCAGTGTTACGTCGATAACCTCTTCTCTTACACTATTGCTGAAAGTGGGCATGTTACCGACATTCAGAACCTCAAGGTTCGATGCCCCAAGAAACTCCATCAGGTCTTCGCCTCGTCTGTTGGTGTTCGAGCTGCCCCACGCAACGTGATGGGCATTACTGTCGCATCCAATCACAAGGTCGAGTCCAGAATCCCTACAGAATGCGACAAGGTCCCCCATTTCCTTAGACGGAGGAGGGTCTCTTGAATCGTAAGGAAGGTAAGCCGAACAGACAACCAAGTCCCTGTCACTGCCTTCCTTCTTATATCTAATTCTGACTGCAACTAAGTCTCTAAATGTAAATTCTTTAAGTTGCCATGAGTTGACGGAAGTCATTACGCAAGCTCTGGGCTTAGTGTCCGGAGTATCGCTAAAAAGCGTATAGCCCGGTATACTAAGCCCGTTTACTGAACCGTTTCTCAGCCAGGGTTCCTGGATGAGAGCCACGTCATGTCGGCCTCGAGTGATCTCCTGAGTAAGGGCCCTCGAAGCCGCTATGCAGTGTTGTAAGTTAATTTGGATGAAATTAAAACTTACCATGGATGTTGAGAGGCCCTTCCTACACCTTCTCGAATGACGGTATGTAACCCCTATTCGGGCGTACCGCCGTCGCGGCCGCAGTCATCGCTGCCACAGCCGCCTTCATCTCCGCTTCCACGGAGGAGTTCTCGGACTCGGTTCAGGATTCCATCCTCGTCCGAGTCGCTATCGTTTTCCTCTGGGACCAGATCCATCGCAGGGTCCGCCACGATGTTTTCTGCGGATATCCCGCTTGGACCCGCCGCCTCCACGTCCGTAGCCTCCGGTGGCTCCAGCGAGAGCTGACCCGGCCGACCCATCCCCTGTGAAGGAGCCTGGTCTACCGCCACAGCTCCCGTCGGTCTGGGCTGGTCCGACTCCTGGTTTGGAGCCAGGCCAGTTCCAGCAGGTGTCGCTCCACTGCTCTTCTTCTTGCTCAGGAGTGTAAACACCCCCGAACTTCCACCGCAACACAGCCTGTTGCCGTTACCTACAATGACCTTCCAGCTTATGGAATCAACTGAGAGGACAAGTCGGACACCTATCGGCTCTTCCTTCCTCTCAAGTATCCTCCACGCGCTGGGAAAAGTCCCAGGATTGTGTCTCCTGAGTCTCCTCGTGATGACCCCGTTGTCCAGGTTGGGACCCGGAAACCAGGCCATCACGCGGTGGTATATGGGAAGGTCTCCAAAGCTCATCGTAATGAGCCTTGCGCCTTCCCACGGCCGCAGATCCCCCACGTGGGCCTCCAACCATGCCCTAGAGGATTCGTCCTCGCAGACAAAGATGGCTGCCCCTCGAGAGAGGTAGCAGTCAATGTACCTGGGAAGGGTCACCTCATCTGGGATCCCATCTATCAGCACACTGACCGCCTCCTGGACCTGCTGCACCTGTATATTAGTAAGTTGAGTCCCAGGATAACCGTCGGACACGACGGCCACCCTGAGACCCGCTTGGGACGCTCGCGCATAACTAATTTGCGCATGCGTCGCAGTGCGAGGCTTCTTCCGCGAGGATGCGCCCTCCGGTGTCCCACCGGCAGACCTCTGCCGCTTCCCGTCACCGGGCCGCTTTAGGGTCTCCGCTGACACACCGGATTGCGCACCGTCTAGCCCAGATGGCGGTTGGGTCCGTCCAGCCGGGGTCCCAGAAGTGGTGCCCCGACCTTCCGAGCCCTCCGTCATCTGCGCCTCTCTCCGCTTCCGAGCCCTTTTCCTTTCGGAACCTGGCCGAGACTTTTTCTTAATCTTTAGAGAGCCCACCCTTTCCGCTAGCTCTCTCGCTAAGCTTCTGACAGATTCCTCTGTCAGAGTACGATCAGGGTCCCCTGGTGAGGGGTCGCCTGGATGTTCGGGGTCCCCTGTAGGGGGGGCCTCGGGTTTTTTATTATTTTTTCCATCGTTTGGTTCCATAATGTTCCCACGAGTATAGGGGAAGTGGTGATCGACGTCCGCGGTGCCCCTACACGGACGCAAGGCTGGATACTCTGGGAGGTCGCCCGGTGTCCCAGAGGCTCCGTTTAAGACGGTGCATCCCCACCGCCACGCACCCCTCGGCACGGAATCGCTTAACACCTTGGGTTGGGTAACGTACCATTGCCCATGATGACCGTTGAGCTGCAGGCGTCCCAGATATACATCCGAGACACCTGTGGCTCAACGAATCATTCGATTGGCCGGGCTACCGGCTTTCCGGCGGGTCTCCTCAAAAACTAATCGAGGCGGTCCACCGCAAGACCGGCACCCCGTTGCCCCCCCTACACGGTCGCACACGGTTCAGCGCCCAAGGCCGCCCCGCAGAACGAACTCGAGGACGTACGGGTTGGATTTTGTAGGGGAACCACAAGAGATATGCTAATAGACAGAATCAGGAATGCATGTGATGAAGTAAGGCCTTGTTTGAATAATGCTATACCACGATCGATCATTCGTAGATGTGAATTGTGTATTGAACAATTGGGTTTACATTTCGAGCAACTACTTTAGATTTTGTATGTTTGTCATAAATATCCAATAGTATTTTGGTTGTAAATAATTAATTCAATTTGTTAAAAATAATATTGGAAAATTAAACAAATTAATATTCTGTTTTTTGTGTTTATTTGGAGTTAGGAATTATTGCTGTGTTTAAAAACACAGTCTAAACGATCATCTTAATTACTTGTAATGCCCAAATCGAAAATGTAAAAAAAATATTATTTTCCCATAAATAATTAAAAATGCATCTAACCTTCAAACTCGAAATATCTCAAAAACGGCTAACTATAACGAAAACTCACACGAGAGCTTTTTTATGTTGAAAAGTGCGAAGAATCAGTTTTTTTATTCAAAAAGCAAAAAATTGCACTAAGAAAAAAATTTCGGTCATTTTAATACACTACAGGTACACTAGAGAGCGCCCTCTAGCGGCTGCAGTAAAACTATGCCCATGGTTCGTTTTGTCGTACCAAAAAACCCTTGTATACCAATTTTCACTGTTATACATCAAATATTGTTCGAAATATTTAAAAAAACTATTTTAGAAAGTAAATTTCAACACCCTGTATTTCAAAAGCCACGCATTTTTCGACCCACGTTTATATAGACTGTATGCATTAATTTTAAAAGTTCTATCGAATCTTAAAGTTATGTAACAATAAACTGAAACACCCTGTATATTCAATTTCTGTTAACGGTCGATTGACAGTAGCACTGAGGCTCACTGCTACTGGGGACAGTAATCAAAGCTTAATGTATATAATAATTCATCCAGCGTCTCAAATCAATTTATTATCTATAAAAAATACATTATTTACTTATCTACTAATTTGGTACAACATTCGCATTTAAACTAACCAGGCGAAAATAGAAACAGACCCGACTTTCAAAACACGCCAGTCTTCGAGAAATTTTCGAAAAGTTACAGTTTTGTTTTGTCCGTTTAGTGGAAAACCGCCATTACATGCCAAGAGACGTATAATGGTTTGTTGCGTCCAACATATGTATGCGTATAACAAAATTGTATGGATTCGACCGCATAAGGACAGAAACTTATTCACCATATTGTATGTAATATAGGTTAATTTTACGTAGCGGGTGACAGTTTTTTAACCGCCCTAGAGCATAAACAAGTCCGCAGGCTTAAAAGTGGAGAATGTCTGGAAAACCTATTCATCAGTTGCACTCTTCCGGCCAGTTGTAGGTTAAACAATTTGTACTCATGTTACAAGCCAAGAAAGATTGTTTAGAATTTCTGTATGTTTTGTCTGTGAGCTTGTGCACGGTAATCTCAAAGATGGCATGGACAGTCTGGATGCTGTTTTCACTGATTGTATATATCCTGTATATTTTTTTTTAATTTTCCTTAGCATCGTGATCGTTTACGAACATAAAGGTTAATTGAATCTATATAATTATCTAAAATAGTATGTCTTGTCTAACAATTCACCGACTGATTGTCTTCATCGACAAACCAAACAGATGGACATGAACATGAGATTTGAACTGCATTTTAACCTGTAAGCTCTGACTATAGAGGCAAGCAGCAAATTTTCAAAATTATTTAAGCGCTGCTGAAATATTATCTCTAGAGAGATAAAATAAGATTGAAGATTTGCGTGGAATGAAAATAAATTTCGTCTGATTTACTTTAACCCTGAAATTTAGCCTTATCGGCTAAATCAACTCGTTCTTCAGAATTTCTGGAAACTTGTAACATAGAATGATAATGTTTAAATATCAGATTCTGCTAATAGTAGTTATAGACATATCTACCAAATATGTCCATATGTGAACTTACCAGAATACAGGCGATTTTGGCTGAAAAGAATCCTGCTTCCGGGTAGGCGTACGTTCTTTCTATTACTCCCCAGTGGGCAGGCTCATTTATTTCTGTGTCAATCAGCAAGTTACTTCTGGAATTACACAAATAGCTAGGGTGAAGTATTTACTTGGATCCATACCATCGATATTTACTGACGATTCCGTCAGTGTCAGTGGATTTGCACGCAACGTCATACATCAATAAATATCGACGTCCAGACTATGAGTGATCAATACTGACGGATCACTAGGCAAATTTCTGACCGTTGTGGATAGCTAGAAACAGGTGACCAATTTAGTTTGACGTGTAAAATTGAGCGACGCTTTTTCGACAATTTGGACACAGCTCCAGTGAATAATGATGGCGCGATATCGCCTGATCTATAGCCAACAAGCATAAATGCGAAATAAGGCAGTTCACAACAAATCGTTGCTATTGGACCAGTGAACGTTGTGTGTCCACATTGCAAGACTTTCAATTTCAAAAATGAAGCCTCTGGATTATGTTGTGCCAGTGGAAAAGTCAAACTGGCTACACTGCAAACACCACCAGAGCCACTACATTCATTCTTGTCCGGAGGTACCACCAACCAGAGCCACTACATTCATTGGTTTCTGGAAATGGGCCAGATTCTTTACATCTTTTGACTCATATTCAGCAATACAACAATTGCTTTCAAATGACGTCTTTTGGCGCAACAAAAGTCATTAGGCATAACTTTATGCCTACTTTCAAGGTAAGTTCACGGGGGAATGGCAATACTGCCAACATATTTTCCTAGCCACATGATGATACAAACACCTCACTATAGAAATGCCTATATTCCATAGGCAATAAGGCAATAAGGAACCTGTTATTGCCAACGCCGGATAGTGACTACAAATATTTGCAAATTTATTTTATGGGTGGTCAGCAAGTTTAGCTGATCAGCGTTGTGCTCACAATAATTCTGTAAAGATACCAGTTGTGGAACAACTTCAAACATCTGTAGGGTCAGCTAGTCAACAATAAATGTAAAATGTGGAATTTCTCATTTGGGCTTGGATGGGCCTACCGTCACTTATTTTTTTGGCGAGAGCTGATATCCAGGGTATTAAATTGGTGCATGAATATGATACTTTCGCTCTAAAATTTCAAAATGGCAGCTGGGCGCTGATATAACGTACTGTACGTTTCAATGGTTAGTCATAGAGCCATAAAAAACAATTTACATAACTCTTAACGTTGACAGCCCGCCACCGCCAGTCTGCCACTTTGAGAGATGATAAATTGAGGAATCAGATAACCCCACATTTCATTTAAAAAATGTTTGTCATCTTGAGATTTACATTGAGTGCATCCATGGAGCAATATCTTCAGCCTTTCTGAGAAGCGCTGTATCTATACTAAGTGACATATAAATCCGAACACCCAGTTTAAATGGTTTTATTTTAATAAAAGTTGGTGAATGTATTTATCTTACAGTAAATAACAAATGAAAAAATTTTCAGCCTTATCAGTTGGACATTCCGGTTCTTATACTGCTTTTTTTTAATTCACTAACGCTCTAAAAGTAAAGAACCAACGTTGGCGGATTTTGGTTCTTGACATCCTTTACTATCGGTTACGATGCCTAGAGTACGGAGACCTGTACGATTTCGTCAACTCAGTGAGTTTGATAGGGGCCGTATAGTGGGACTTCGGGAAGCTGGACTTTCTTTTCGGGCAATTGCAGTTAGAGTGCAAAGAAGTGTAGACACTGTGGTTAGGTGTTGTCAGGCATGGCTTCGAGAAGGCCGTACGCAAAGAGCAAGGGGCACTGGACGCCGCCGTAGAACAACAGATTGTGAAGATCGCCGCCTGAGATTATTGGCCTTAAGGGACCGTTTCTCCACTACCCGGTCCATTGCAAATGAATGGTTTGCAGAACACGGAAGACCTATTGGCATGCGAAGTGTTTACCGACGAATTAGAAGTTTTGGCTTGTTTTCATACCGGCCACACTGGGTCCTCCCTTTAACTCGAGAACACCGACGTAATCGCCTTGAGTGGTGCAGACAACGGTCACTCTGGGATCAGGAATGGAACAGTATTGTCTTTAGTGACGAGTCTCGATTTTGTTTAGGCATGCACGATAGTCGTGCCAGGGTTAGAAGGCGACGTGGTGAAAGGAGGAATCCACAGTTTTTTGTTGAAAGACATGTTCATCACACTGTTGGAGTACAGCTTTAATCTTCATCAGAGGTAACATGAACGCGCAGCGTTATATCCACGAAGTTCTAGAACCCCATCTTTTACCCTATCTTGACACCCTGGCAGATCCAACTTTCCAACAAGATAATGCCCGACCACATGTTGCAAGACTCACAATAGACTTCTTTCAACATAACGATGTCACATTGTTACCATGGCCACCAAGATCTCCCGACTTATCCCCAATTGAGCACCTGTGGGATATGATGGGTAGGAGATTGCTCAATTTGCAACGTCCTCCTCAGACTCTAGAAGCACTTCGAGAGGAGTTGGTGGTTGCCTGGAATGAGATACCACAGGAGGACATTGACCACCTGATGAGAAGCATGCCTAGGCGCATTGGAGAATGCGTAGCATATCAGGGTGCATCCACACATTATTAAAGGTCAAAGGGCTTTAAAGCAGTGCAATCATTTTTATCATTTACTTATTATGCTTCACTAAGCACTTATACAAAATTTTATTAAAATAAAACCATTTAAACTGGGTGTTCGGATTTATATGTCACTTAGTATATTTTAGCAATAGTAGGATATTATTCCGTGATTTGCAGGCTCCTGGTTGAAGTCATCATTCATGTTCCTGTAGGATTCAGGATATCATGAAGCTGTAAACACTGCGTCTTCTAGAAGACGTCAAGATGAATATAGATACGTGATGCTCAAAAAATAACATGAGCGGCCTAGATCAGGTGAAGAATCATTTCCTCGTTGTTGAGTTATCAACCCTGCTAAACATGGTCGCAAACTGGCTTCAAGTTATCAAGTCAGTTAGAGTTGCCGCCCAAATACAACATAGTTATGATACAAAATTACACATCGAACATGGATACAAAGCAAGTGCACACAAGGGCTACTTCATTGATGCAGGTAGGTAATCATATATGTAGGAAGATGCTAGAAACTTTCAACTATAACTTACGTAGTAGTTGGCGGAGTCGGACAAATCACTAGGTTGGACTGGAGACCTTCATCTTCTTTAATCACACCTGCTTCACAGAGACACAACGACAAGGCAGCTATAATCAGGAGTGTAGTTTTACCCATCTTGGTAGTTGGAATAAGCCAGCCCAGATGTAACTAATATTTATATCACACTCTAGTAATCGCATTTTTAGATACCATGCTCCTAAATGGGTTTTTAAATTAAGGAGCTCGTTCCACTTATAATCACCTTCAAGAGGTTTTGGATTAAAAATGCTCACATTTTATCGTAAGTTGTGTTACACATAATAAGTTTCAGAAATCGACGGAGACCAGAGCCGTAATTCAACTATTTACCAGAGCTTAGGGGAACGTGAGTGTATCCACCAGCTTTCGTGGTACTAATCTAATTTAACATATTTACCCTGAGAACCAAATTTGTCTGACGGATTTGGCTCAATGTGTACGAGAAAGAAGTCTGTATAGACACGTATGTCAGAAAGAGATAGAAGCCGGATAGCGAAGCTCATCACTGCGTTGCCTAGCAACGCTGACGCGTCAATCTGCCGCCCCGTCGCCAATATGTTACATCGGTTCCTTGAATTAAGATGCATGCTGAAAATATGCGTTAGTTTATTCTTCACGCTCAAATAATGATTTTATTTTGAGCGTACACATTTTTGGATAGTGAATTGTGTCGAATCTGTTTAGGATCGGTACGGGATCGATCCTAACAACGCTCCATTTTAGGTCGATCGCCGCAAATTCTGCAGCATCGTATTATTGGTTCGCTTCTCGTACATTCCAAAGCAAGCCAAGTTCATAACTGAGAGGTTTTGGTCGGTGTCCACGAAGCACTCATTGAGGAGTGTTGTCGTGCTTAGAAATGGTTTTACGTGCGTACATGCAGATAATGATAATTTGTATTGCGTCGTGATATTTAAACAATAACTCAGGATGTGTTGATTTTATCACCATCGGTGGAAATCAAAGGTAATTCTAAAATACATTAAAGCGCTAAGTCGCAGCAAAATTGAAATAAACAAGACTAACAAAATGGAAACAGAATACTAAATTAAGGGCCGATTTCACCAACATTATTATTATGGACCCATAGGAAAATACCTTATCGAAATGCAATTTGACGGAAGCTGTCAAATGTGTCAGAATATCAGTGATTTCTATTAAAATGTTGAACAAAATCGTAAAAATTCGACTGTATTATAAACAAGACCACTTTTTGATTCCAACATGATGCTTTTATACCGAAAAAACAGGACAACTTTCATGTATTTTTATGTATGTTATAGGTTTACATTTAACAATCCGTTATCCCCTCAGCGAATGGGAATGGGAGAAATAATAGGTCGATTTTCTAGCTGTTAAATTTGGCAGCAGGTTTGGTCGTTTGTTAATTCATTTGTTAAGTTCTGTGTGTATATTATAGCTACACGTAACTGTTGAATTAGAATATAAAATGTATTCCAACCAATTCCTCATCTCTCTTTATATCATAATAGTAATCATTTGTTATAAATTCATGGCTTAATGAATTCCTTCAAAGCAATCAAAACAGTATGGTCGTCCCCATCCTAAAACACCGATATGTGTAAATCATGTTAATCCCTACATCTCCGAGGTGCATAATGCAATTACTGTAGACATAGACCTAAAATTATTAGTAATTACTGAAAAATAAGAGCTAAAAAGAATTTGAAATTGTGATAAAATATTGGTGGTTAAGGTTTTTGATTGGTGACTGGTGGGGATACAATATAGGGATGGCGACGATAGAGAAAGATTTTCCCCTGCCGGCCCTTGACATCGTTTCGAAATATGAAATTCTGGAAACGCTATAAAAATAAAAATGAATACACAAAGCCTACTTGCCTATTTCAGAAAAAAACAAAAACACATAACGATTGTCACCTTGACATCATTCTGCAATCTGTCAAAGTAGTGATGGGCGTGCTTGCTGCACGGTATACGGTATCGATATTCGATAACATATTTTTCTTTCTACCATGAATGCGTGGAAAAAACAAAATAAGGAGAGATCTAAAATAAGGAGTTATTGAAAGCCTAAAATAGCTATGCGCTAATAATTCCTGGCCGTATTTGAATATCTAAGCAGGCACAGTAAAACAAAAATAAGACTTGGAATTAATAAAGTTTATTTCGACAGTAGGCAGAGTTTGCTCCACTGGGCACTGGGACGAAGTGTTGACGGATCCCACAGAATTATGTGTCACTTGTCGATATGGTTAGTTTTAAAATATCAGGAGATAATCAGCTGTTACTCAAATCAGTGTAAATGTTTTGCGAATCAAATAACGTCTAATATAAATATAATATATATATAATAATATAAAAATTTAGTGTGCATGTTTGTTAAGTTCCTGAACAACGAAATATATTCAACTTTATGGATGTATGGATATTAAAAAACCAGAATGGTTTTGTGGGAATATCAATCTAAGGTGCCATAATGGTTCTGATGAACGGCAAGTAGATGAATGAATGTTTGGAAACGAGCAATATCTATGAACTTTTTGGTAGAGCCAGTCATCGACTAGGTGCTCAATGGCTATCTGCAACAGGTTTATTAGAAAAAGCACCCAGTAGATAATCTTGAATCAGTAAAATCGCATATCAATTGAAGAAAATAATATTATCATGAATAAAAAAGCAATAATGGTATTTAGAACATGAATTTTATTCAAAAATCAAACATCTGTTTAAATTCTGACTGAATTATATGTAATTTCTTAATATTCAATAAGCTGGTGATGTTTCAATGACAAGATGTCATCTCATACTTTGACAATATTTTGTTTTCAACATTTCATAGCTATTGGTTGCTAAAACTTGTTGATTGGAACTTGAAGCTCATTCGCTGTATTTGACGGACTGTTACCCTATCGGTGGAGAATAACGGACTGTTGTTGGTGAAATTGGCCCCAAATGTTCTAACAGATCTCCTTCTTGCATTTGACAGTAACCTAACATATTGTAGAAGTCTTTGCGAACATTTTCTATTGCAACATGCAACAACGAGGTAGATTGTGTGCACGCTCAAAGCAAAACCATAATTTGGGCGTAAAGAATGAACTAACGCATACTTTCAAAATGTGTCTCAATTCAAGGAGCTGATATAGCATATTAGCAACGCGGTAGATTGCCACCAGCTGCTATCTCTCCCTAACATAATATGTTGTTAAACACTTCTTGCGCTTCTATCTCGTACACATTGAACTCAAGTCGTCAGACAAATTTGGTTTTCCTAGTATGTTCTCCCAATCGATAAATGAAACTACAAATTAATGTTGGAAAAAGATCTCTAATGTAAGAAATAAGATTGACTGGCATTGACCTTTATCGACACTGCAAGGAATCATTAAAATTGTCAGCAGTGGGCCTCTCGCCGAGCATCAGTTCCAGCTGTGTCTTGTCAACAACATGTTCTGTGAGGAACTGTGAAGTATGGTAATCTAAATAATAAAGTTGTTTTTACCACTTTCCTATAAACGATTCAACTAGACCAGGGTTCCCCAAACTTTTTTGTGTCGTAGACCCCTGCCATGTTTTTCCGTGTTGGGTAGACCCTCTACTTACCTGATATTGATTTCCTGTAAATTTCTAACTGTAGTGAAGTTTAGTGTTAAAAACTTAAAGTAAAAACACATGTTAATTTATACATTTATTAACTGAATTTAAATTAAAACTACTCAAAATAAAATTTTGTATCTGTTATGTAAGATATACGTAACATTAAATAAACAGGTGTCTGACCAATAAGTGCCCGCATTGGGAATAAGTGCCCGCATTGAAAAAAAAATAAGAGGAACAAAATAGAAAAAGGTGAAAAATAATAAAAAAAAAGGTTTTTACTTAAAATAGTACAATAAGCGAGTTCGTTTATTAATTATAACATAAACGTATGTTCTACAATAATTTCACTGTTAGTTTGATTAAATTCCGTTTCTAATACGTTTAAGTTATCTAAAAATAGGCAAAAGATTAACGAATTTTAGTGTGTACCTACCTATCCTTGAATTTTTAGAATCATTTAAAAAAAATATTCTCTATATATTTTCTTTAAAAAAATCAATGCCGGAACTTATTCCCAATGCGGGCATTTATTGGTCAGACACCAATAAACATAAAATAAACTATAAAAAAAATAACATAAGCAATAAGTCAATATTTTTAGTGAGAAGGGAAAACCTGACGCTTTAATAATAAATTATCAACATTTGGCGTAAATTTTGTAAGGGTTAATCTTAAATCTCCTCGGCTAATGATGTCCAGTCTGTCTATTTTTTTCGTTAGGAGATTGGTAACAGCGCTGAACCCCCTTTCCACTAGGTATGACGATGGAACGGAAATTAAAAATTTCCTCGCTATATTCCATAATATGGGATAAGTAACGGGAATGTTGTTTTGCTGCCAGAATTGCTGATATCCGTTCTTAAGCTGAACCTTTAGTTCTTCGTTTGTACTCAGTTCAGTCAGTTCCTCTTGTATTATGACATTCCTTTCTTATATGTCACCATTTGGATTAATTATCCGCGGTGGTGTTACCATAGTCAAAATATCCTCAAACCTAGATTCAAAATCTGAATAGAGGGCATTTAAATGTTGAACGTCAGTTGAAACGTCGTCTTCCTGGCAGCTTGTCTGTGACAAATTGGGGAACTGAGAAAATTCGCCCCGTCCAATATTTTGCTTCATTCATCTGGCAAGAAATGCTGATAAGATGGACTTTGTTTTAATCAAATTTAAACTGTCGCTTTGTAATTGCAAATTAACCATATTGAATTTTGTAAACAAATCTGTTAAATAGGCGATGTCTGTTTTCCTGTTCATTAAATTTCCTTTTAAAATTTTATCTTTAGTATCCAGAAATTCTAAAATAGTCTCAAAAAGTGCAAAAATCTTGTCAAACATAAGCCATTCGATAGCCAGCGTACTTCAGTGTGAAGGAGTAATTGATGAAAGTGTTCGTCATTTTCTTCACACAACTGCGCAAATAACCGCGTATTCAACGCGTTGCTTCGGATTCGGTTTACTGCATCAATGACTAAATGAAGTGATTCATGCAATCTAACACTCAAATTTTTAGCAACTAAATGTTGTCGATGGATGACGCAATGTATTGCTAACACCCCTGACACATTTTGTTTTAAATAGCTTATACATCCACGATAACGTCCAACCATGGCAGGTGCTCCATCTGTAGCTACTGATATTATAC